CTTCAGAAAAGAGTAACTGTTTACCTATTCTAAGGCTTTGTTTGTTATATTCATAATTAATGTTATAACAATGCCAAGATATAAGACTGAAAAACTCTATTGTCTTATTTTAACTATATGAGGATATCTTTAATAAAGATATGGTAATAAATGTACATGAATGTATCATTTTACAATTGTCAAATAATTTTATTCATAATATGAAAACTACATTGATGAATTTCAAGGCAATGCTAAAACCATCCAATGGAAATTATTTTTATTTCCTTCCACACTATGCATACATATATGGATGTTTTTAACAACCTTGACTGACTATACAGCCCTTGCATGGTCGGTAACACTATGCATGTTATGTCAACATCATAAAAATTATCCTTGAAAAAAGGAATTTACATCTGACCAATGCAGGTCAATCATATAATTTTCAGAAGAGCCTATGATCTTTCTTTTTTAATATTTGATATCAACTAGTATGTTTTGATATGTTGGCATCACACTTCTCACAATTTGTAACATTATTATCATATTGTACTTATTCTTTTTCAAAAGCAAAGAACTCATGTTAACAATGAGCAATGCTCCTCTGCTTTAATTTTTGCCAAGATAAAGATATAAAATCTTAAATCATAGTAAAAGACATGAGATTAACTTCATGTACAGAATTATTCAACAAAAGTTTGCATTTTTAAACACTGCATTGTTGCAGATTTTTCAAACAATAATAATTGTTTTACTATTATTTTCTACAGTATGTTTCTACCTAATCAATTGTTTGTTAGTGGCATGTTAAATGCTCTACAAGTAACTATTCATTAAATGCTAATGTTCCCCCTTCGACCTATTTCTGGTCATGTTTGCCGTGATATTCCACTGGCCTCTCAATATTCAGATATTTTAAATATCAGTCACATAATATTATTTCTGTAAATGTTTCAACTGTAACACAGTTTTATTATCTCACTAAGAACTTATTTTGAAGCCTTAAATGGCTTTGTATATTACAGATATACATATTGTGTACATATTCTCGATAGTTTCAACAATATTGTAAGTTCATTCTGAACTGTTGTCACATTTATGACACACCAAGGACTTATAAAAGTCTCTAAGCTCATTAATTGCTTGGACAAATAAGCTTTTAAAAATTAGCTATTTGAACATTATTTGATATAATATATCTTTAGCAAAGGTTTACAGATACCTTAGATTGGAAGTGGCACATAATGCCTTCCGTATTATCACTAGCTTTGTTTATTTATAGTAACACACATACAGGTGTACATATCGACAAGTAGTCTAGCATAATATTCCAATGCACTACATTACAGTTTCTTATATTGGAATAAGAAATGTTTTTTAATCACAACATTTTGTGATAATAAAATCTCAAGTATATTTGCTATATTTTCACTACGTGGGTACATTATAGCAAGAATGTACGAGTACACCTTCCTACATTTTGCACTTACCTTGAAAATAAAGAAAGACATTCTACTCATATACTTCTGTATAGAGATTCATTCGTGTTAAAATAACTACGATAATGTATCAATTTATTTAGACGAAAAAATGTCAAACATTATTAAAAAGTGAACGTTCGGTCCACCATTGATTACGTGATAAGCACCTGTGTGTTACACACCACAGTACACGTGTATTTTTAGAACAAGGATTAGAAAAAAGAACAACGATAAAATACATTGTATTTAACGAACTTGGATAATAAGTTCTCAAGATAACTAATGTTTATAAAAAATGATTATAACGAGTTAGACACCTCGCTGCTCGAAAAATAATATGGTTGGCACAGGTAATAGCCGCAGTATTTATAGCTAGGTATAGCTACGTCATACCCAAAGGTCAAGGATTTTGACCTCTTTTAAATGAGATGCCTCGTTGTACATCGGGAAATGAATGCTATAGTAACATCCTCGAAGAGCCGAGGAGCGTAATTAGTAGAATGTACTATCATCATCGGACAAAAGTATAAAAAAAAACATTTTGTTTCATATATTGTTTTTTTTAACTTATGCAAAACACACGTTGATTCTCTTACGCGTAATAAGTAGATAGTTTCTTAGAACATGAATATATTTTCCATTACCTTAATCATAGCTGCCAGTATTAAGTTATAACGGGTTGAAACCGAATATAAGGTGGATATTCTTTAATGCTATATACAACAGAGTAAAAATCATAATTCTTCACACTCATATTTCTGTACTAAAAATGTTCTAATAGTCCTTTCAAACATAACTCAGTTGGTGAACTACTTTTACTTTTGAGGTATTTTATAGAGCGTGCGATAACCGCTTTGATTACAATCTATGCATAATTGGTATTAAGTTTTTCATAATATATTTTATATTTCTTGTTATTTTATCTTTCATCCTACCGTCACGATTGTTTCATTGATATTGAGATTACAACGTCAGAATATGAAATGTACGCTAATTTAGTACATACTTTAATATTCAAAGGTAAGTTAAAATATAATCTAAAGAAATACTGATATCTGACGGAGTAAATGTGTACATATCATATTGTGAACAGCTGACGAATGTACTTGATGGATAGATAATACTTTTTGACGAAGAAAATAATGTACATCTATTAATAGATAAAACTTATAATCCAACAACTCATCTTCTTCGAGAGAAATCAGAAGTAGCAGGAAGATTTTAACTTTAGTACCACACGTGAACACGTAATTCATACAAAGCATAATATAGTCAAACCATTTGAAACAAGACTTTTAGTTTCTTGTGTACAATTTGGAGTTTAGTATGGCGTTCATTATCACTGAACTAGTATATATATTCGTTTAGGGGCCAGCTGAAGGACGCCTCCGGGTGCGGGAATTTCTCGCTGCATTGAAGACCTGTTGGTGACCTTCTGCTGTTGTCTGTTCTATGGTCTGGTTGTTGTCTCTTTGACACATTCCCCATTTCCATTCTCAATTTTATTTGAACTTTAGTTGTTTTTTAAATCGACATAGGCATTGTTTGTTTGATAAACAGTATATATGCAGTATTAATCATGACAGCCATGATATTATTTCCTCCATAGGCCAGGCCTAGATATCGCTTATTGATTACTCTATCTCGTTATGTTTGAGCTTTAGAAAGAACAGATCAGGGTTGAACTATGTGACGACTGGTTGATTCATACATTTATATGTAATTATCCCATTCTTCTAAAAATGGTATCGAAAAACAAACTAAAAGACTGTTCTACTTCACATCCCAAAATTAGTGCAAGTTAGTAAATCATTTTAATACAGTATTCATTTACATATTGTATATATTATTTTCATGTGCACAACACATGTAAGTACATGCAATTCATAATCTACGCGCACATATCTGGAAAAAACAAAAAGTGCTCGAGATATTCCAATCAAATTGACCTAAATAAAACAGCTTGCAACTACGTTTGTATCACATTTTCATAAACGACCATTAATTAGATCAGTTAATGCACGCCAATACCGAAGTAATATAGTCTGTACATGTGAGGATTGTCCATCAACAGGATACCGACTAAATGAAAAAATAAAACAAATATAATTCCTAGGTATACAGGTATCTTCATTAGGTAGGCTCGCGACAGTGTAAGCAAGTGTTAATGAACTAATCAATTACTACATAGTTGATCATTATCTTTTCAATTTATTGTTAGCATTATAGAAATGTATATATAAAGTACGACTCGTTGCTTTCTTTGCTCTCTGTATTAACTATAAGTATTTTACATGTGCATGAATTAAATATCACTCTCAACGCTTTTATCGCATTCACTTTCGCTGCTGGAAAGTGGTGCTACAGGATCTGCCATTAAATCTATTTCAGAATAAATGGTTCTATCAACACTTCCATTATCAAATGAAAAAACATTCATTTACCTATCAAATGCATATGATTAAAAGAACACAGAGGTCAAATTTATTTTATGGAAAATAACGACAAAAGTCGGCACTTATTTTCGAAGATAAGAATTAAGTATTCAAATAACTGCAAAGGCATTCAAAATTTTAAGCAGACCATGTTTAAGTTTAAAGTTTTAAGTTCTAATATCGATTTTTGAATTTTTGGTTGAAAATACGATTTTTGAAATAACAAAAATTGCCAAAAAAAAAACGATTCGCGTATTGGCCTAAAATCAATTGTTTAGATAAGAGAGTAACACTCTGTAAATATTAGACCAATTGGGAAATTATTTACCTAAGTAAAGTGTATCCAATTTCATTATATATGGAAAAGCCATTGCCTTGTATCGTTTCTTTTGTTGACTAGTATATTTGACACGTGTCTTAAGTTCATCAGTGATTATGTTGATAGGTTGAGTAAGTTAAGGCCATTCGATACAGTATTTATCCCATGGTGAGTTTTTTACGAAAGTTAGCATGCAAGCTATTTTTCACTTAGTTAATTCAAAGATGTAATAGAAAATATACCGTCATGTGCTAGAAATAACTGGGGTCAAAATTATAGACATTTACTGGAATTTTCGGTTTCTTGGACATTTCTATCCTTTGGAAAGACATACTTAACTTGTTTGTTTCAAAAGATAAACGCACATGGATTTTTGTAAAAGCATCTGGAATGTCTTTTCTACATTTTCTTTGAAAAATTATTCATTTTTATCAAATTTTCATTATTTTAGTCAAAGAACGACGTTTTTTGCTGTATATTTATCTAATTAAAAAAAAATTCATTGATGATATGTTCATAAAAATTGGCACAAATAATTTTTATGCATAATCAAGCCAAATGTCATTTTTAAAAAGAGGCGTCCCTGAACTCGTTTTCAAGCTAAATCAGTTTGTATGATAACAATCTGTCTAAAATGCATCTTTTCCTGATAAATCACAGTTTGACGTCGTAAAAAAAAATATTTTACGTTAGCAACGTCATCAACTCCCCTGTAACTGTGTTGTATGCACTTAACTTTGTCTTTTAATTTCAACATATAGAAATAGTCGTTATTATAGTTACCTGACGGGGTACTTGACGGTTATGCACAGACGAGATTACGCCGCTGTTTATATAAGTATGCGGTCTTCGACCATTTGCTAAAGTGAAATATATTTCAAAGCATTATAAGATAATATAAATGCTTTTATATCAGTATTCTTTCGTACGATGCTTCAATTCTACATATAATTCTACAAAGAACCTTTTGCATTAATTTTATAAAAAATTAAAGAGGAAAGTTCTATGGAAAAAATAATTCTGTCTTTTGTTCAGATGTCTGTTTAACGTCACGGAAATCGTCAGTAGGTGAATTCGTTTTGTTTTAATGTTTTTTTTTCTAGAAATAAGATGAAATATAGTCAACAGTAGGTATCCGACGTTTAAATCTCCTTAATCGATTCAGATGACAGATCAAGGTAAAAAACAAAATCGTAACGTAAGGAGACCGATTCGTCAACAGGGTTTGCGTTCCTTGCCATGTATGATTCATATACGAATGCAAATCCACAATCAGTCAAAATGTCAAAGTCAACAAGTGGTATGATTGCCAGTAAAACAGCTATTCCTGAAATCTGACCGACTGAGAAACTTTGAAACAAATTTATCATGACAAAGAATATACAATACTGTCGCAACGGTATAACAATACAGACATTGAAAATTGAAAATCACAAGTAATAGTACTTAAACATAACGCACGATCAACATAAGTCTCTTTGAAAAAAATGAGATGTAGCCTCAGGTGCGATTAAAGGTTAAGCAGATCCTGCTTCACATGTGGCAACCAATATGTTGCTAAAGTAAGTACACAATTGGTGATAAGTATAACAGTCAAATTCGAGGAAAAAATGACATGATTGTGAATAAGGAGTACTAATAAACAATACATATGTACATGCACAGTTGTTGTGTAATGGATATGTGTATGTGATAGATTATGTTCCTTCATTCCTCTTATATATATTATATAAATGTACTCAAACATTTAGCAAAACCTCAGAAAACAGAAAATAGCTTTACAATCTTATTAAAGTACCTCTATTTTCATTTTGAAATTGCATCTGGTAAGTTTGGTTATCACGAGAAGTTGTTACGCTTTGATTACGTATGTTATGTACATGAGCCAAATCCGGGTCATCTGATGAAAGATAGAGCTGGTTGTCAACTGGTTCCACTAAAGCAAATTAAATGAAATTACAGCAAACATAGGAAAAGAATATACGTGTGAAAATTTTACAAAAAACGCAAAATATTGTCAAACAGAAAACAATGTTTATGGTATTAAAAACATTATCATATCATTGCATTAAAAAAGCGAAATCAGTATCGTGTAACTAGTTACAAGATCAAAGATGATGTTTTTCCTGGCTTAAAAAGGGTCAATTTAAAATGGCTAAGATACAGGCGATATAATACTGCTAAATCCTAATTTCATATTAGCAGGAAAATAAGTAAATGGAGCTTTCTAACTGTGAATGCGATCATTTCCTATATTATGAAGTAACGCGTTTTTGTTTTGTCCATTTTGTTTCTGGTGTTCTGTATTGTATCCCTTGCTGTTCTACCTATTAAAATGGAGCGTTGTGATCGTTTACGTTTCTATATGTGCATCTTCTTGTCCCCTAATCAAAAAACATCGTCGTGTGATGCCAATATCTTTAACCTATACATATATTTGTTTCGAAATTGGATGTTGGTGACTAATCTTTGAAAGTCTGTTTATCATTCAAATGACATTTATAACTGGAGTGGTCAGATTTTGACTTGTTCCGTATTCACTTAAATATTGTATAATAATGTATATGAATTGTTTTTGTATCTTTGAGTTGCTATTAAGTTGTCTTATTTCCAACATCTTCTTTTACTACAAGACTAAAACAATAAGAATTGATATTGAATCTGGAATATGTCATCACATATTCATTATCTTGAATGCATTATAACAAAATATTACTTTGAAAATTCTCTCTAATTTCTTCTTCCCTGCTATAAAATAGAAGAATATTTATTAATTATTGTAAAATAATATAAGTTTATTTTGTTTTTAAAACATTTTATAGATGTATGTAATTCGGCTTAATACTGTAAGAGATTGTGCGGTTAGGTCTATCTACTGGTAAACTGTTGATATGTAGTGTATTAATATTTGCAGATTGTCTATTGGTAAACAACAATCTAATCAAACAGCAATAACCTTGAGATGAAATGTGCCCAACACACGTTCTCGATTTTGAATGACCTAAAGTAATCTTGGTGTGGCTACATTTTCAAGAACGTTAGCTGAAAAGTAATCAAATACTCAGTTGTGAAGCTTTAGATGTAAAATAATAACACATATAAAGCAAAGAAAAAAAAATGAAGACAATTGCAAAAACAAATCATAATAAAACTCATTTAAAATTTTCCTGCAGAATAATACCCATTTAAGAGTTTCTAATGAAATGAAACGTCATAAACAAGAATTGCAATCGTTCTAGTATCTAAAATTTTAAATGTGCAGGTGACACATTTGTAGTTAATGGGACATAAGCTTCGAGATATAAAATAGTAAAATATGATTTTATTTTGTTCAATCATTAATGGAAGTGAAATTGTGAAAAACTAGTTCTCTTTTAGCAGCAAGTTTAGTTCTTTTTTTTCAAAAATGTTATGAAACTTTTCTAATGAATTATTCATTTGCAAGTGAATAGTTCGACCTCATTGAGTCCGTATTCATGTGATCTTCAACTTAACCCATTAGCCAGAGTTGGTTACGAATGTAATGAAAAACGATGATTAACTTATTTTTTAACCTATAACATGAAATTAAACAGACATGGACAATTCCAATATAGTCATGTTTATGTTTATATTGTGTTATGTGACGTCGGCAGTCTTCGGTGGTCATATCGATGGTTAATTAGATGGCCTTAAGACTAAAATACACACGAAATGCTGATATTTATCATCGAGTTCAAGTGTTGTTAATTTTTATTCAAGACTTATTGTAATTTGGATATATGTTTTAGTATGCCATAAATCAAATATAAGAATTTGAGTCAAATCAGTGAACTTGAATTTGACAGCTAATGCCCCTTTAATACAGACAATCATCCAGAATAAAACTTATGAATCTGTCATTTCCATTATACTACAATGATAGACAACTATAATGAGATGAAAACAAGCAGCTCGTTCCGTATTTTATGTTTTATGTTTTATTGTTATAATAACAATTAAGACTAAAGAGTCTATATTTTAAAGGTTCGTAATGTAACTATAATATTTATTGCTTCAATAATAGTGTTGAAAGACTTTTATTATCCTGTATGTGTTGCATATAAAATTATGTTTCTTTATTTCCTGATGCACCATCTGTTTCTCGACATAAAGACTAAATACTATATAAAAAGTGAAGGTGTCATGTGCTCTATGGCAAATCCCTTTTTGACTTGTTGACAAGTGTGTTTTAGTTAGTATATGATGACATTGTCAATACAACTTGTCATTAACAGTGAATAACATGTTGCATGGTAACTTCATGTCATTTCATGGGTTACAAAAAAATAGACGCACATAATATATTGAAAAGGAGAACGAGCAGAGTTCATTTATGCACTATTAATCAAATATACATACGGATTATCAATACGAGATTCATCGTTTGCTGTAAACAAACAGCAAACTAAATTCCATATAAACAATCAAGAATAATCATTTCCAAAATAACCTTGTGCGAACTGCCCCTTATTCCCGCCCCTTCAACACAAAATCATAAAATAACGAAAAGATTAATGTAACTTGCAGCATTGAAAAACAATTTAATTAGAAAAATATACTGAATAAACTTTACAAAGCATGCACAAGTCTTTGAACTCTTTGAATAAAACGAGAATAATATATCCACGGTAGTGATATTATAATCACAAATATGCTGACGATGCCTCACTGCAATCAATGAATTCAAATCTTGTATTTTACACACATTCACAGTTTGGTATTATAAGAATGAAATGATAAAATCTGAGGTATAAACGAGAGAATAAACATACTAGATTCAATGTTGTGCTAAACACACAGTTGTATGCTTTGTATGCCTTTTTATTTGATTAATATACTACCTTTTCTTCGTAAAAGGAATAAAGCAGTCAACACTGTAATAGCTAAAACTACTGCTTTAACGACCAATGATACCAATACAATTGCTTTTACATCATCTACGTTATTCGATGTCCCTGGATAAAATAATAAATTGGTTTGATATAAGAATTTACGGATACAACGCATGAATATAAAATCAAACATTTCCCCTTTAACCTTTTACCTCTCTCTCTCTCTCTCTCTCTCTCTCTCTCTCTCTCTCTCTCTCTTTTTTTTTTTTGATTTTTTTGCATATCTATAGTATACTATAGAGCTGACCAACACTGGTATATATAATCATAACTGATAGGATCTGTACGATATGTTCTACTTTAGAACTGTCAGAATCAATTGTTGAATAGAACATATCCAACCAGTTCTCAGTAAGACCTGTCCAAAACTGTTCTAGGTTGAAATTGTCTTGAAAATTTATTGGGTAGATGCTTTTTAGGCGACAGGTAACTGCTCTACAGACTGTCCAAGAAAAGATCTCTTGACAGTTCCTTGCTAATTTTACGACTGTACATCTTATGCCAAAATATATTTCCTTCATAGAAGCAGTTGTATAAAGATTGTTTCATTTTATTTTATTTTCAACAAAAAATAACACAAACAAATATTAGTCAATTTCAACATGTTTATTCTGCTTTCCATATACACACATTACCTTTTATGAAGACCGCTTAGAAAATGTTACCTAACGGAAACATTAATCTTAGATGCATGATTTTTTTATTAGTTGTTATTGACTTTGAACTAGCTGTCAGTAACTGCGAATACTCTTAGATCTCTACTAAGTGTCTTTTTGTTGTTGGGATGTACAAGTACTGATCCACGTCCACTTTGTGTTTTTTTTTAGATGTATTTCTATTTTTATCCATCTGATGAGTTCAGCCTTTTTCAACTGATTCTTATAGTTTGTTCTTATGTTGTACAGTTACACCACTGTTCCAGGTTAGAGAGAGGGTTTGACGCCAAAAAACTAGTTCAACCCCGCCACATTCTGTATGTGCCTGTCCCAAGTGATGAACCTGTAATTTAGTGGTTGTCGTTTGTTGCTGTGTTACATATTTGTTTTTCGTTCATTATTTTGTACATACATTAGGCCGTTAGTTTTCTCGTTTGAATAATTTTACATTTGTCGTTTCGAGGCCTTTTATAGCTGACTATGCGGTATGAGCTTTGCCGTGCGGTGACCTCTAGTTGTTAATTTCTGTGCCATTTGGTCTATTTTGGATAGTATTCTCATTGGCAATCATACCACATCTTCTTTTTGTATGATAAGCATATTCATGTAACGACTCAATAATTCAATTAAGATGTTTGAACATGTTATTAACAGTTTTTAGACGGTACCAAAGAGTTTAGTCAAACCGATGTCGCCATAAGTGTGTAACGTTCTTTAGTTGTATATATACATAAGATGTTATTAAGTAATGGCGTTCAATATACATAACAGATGTTGCTTGATTACCACTAATGAAGATGGTTGACGTTGTAACGATCCCGTCATTATCAGATACATAATTCTGCTGAAAACAATGTTAAAGTAAAATATAATACATATTTAGTTTACAAAGTAAATATAAAATATAAACTCATAGATAAAGATCTGTACCTTTTAGAAATAGCATATATTAAAGTTTAGATTTTGATATCGTTTGAGTTGGTAAATTTTGATATATTCGAAAAATAGCTATTGTATTGATTATTATTGATAGTATTACAAATAAATAACTTGATTTGGGATGAGGAGTTGTAAATGCTAATGATTCTTATGGTGAAATATGCCACATTTTGTCATCATTTGACTTAAACGAGACAGTAGTTTGGAAAAGAAAACGCTTTGTTTAAACTAAATCAACCAAATAAACACTTGTTAGTATAACCTATTTGTGTTGCATTTCGTGCAGAGTGATACTAAAAATTCCTCGACATACCGGAAATTGGCACAAACATCACTATAAGAGTGTTACATATTCAAGATAACAAATATTTCTTATAAGGTGTCTGCTGTCGGAAAATGTCCACTGTAACCCGAAGATGTGTCCTTTTCTATTTTATAAAATTTGTTCTTTGGGCGGTAACATGGTCAAGCCTCATTCTTAAAAATGAATTATATTTTAAAGGTGAATTTAATCGTATACAACTATTTGTTTATCAACTTTCTTTCAGATGTTATCTTCACCGTTAGTTCATTACAGCCTATTTTGTTGCAAGCCTTTATTGTATAATCTGTAAAATCTTTTATTGTATCCAATGTCAGTTGGAATGTTATCTTTATACCAGATACTGTAACGTTTACATCATGGGATATGTCCTGTGTCTTAATCGTCTCCTGTCTTGTTTCTGTATACAGAGGCTCGGATAGTTTTGAAATAGTTGCCTGTATTGTGCCATACTTATTGTATAAAAGTACTGTTAAATTAATCTTCTGACCAAAACTACCAACCTGAATTGGTTTATTTGCAATCACACATATCGGGGGAACTAAAATGAAATTGATGAAGAATAATGGCATAATGTTTTTATACTGACTATCAAGCGATTTCGCTAATGCGAGCTGATATGTGAGCTGATGAAATCAGTATCAAAAAATGAAATGACATTATTTTTTTTTTATTTGCAATTTGTCTTAACAAATTTTTTTGCTTGATAATATGACATTCACAAAAATAGCGATGTAGTCAGTCAAACAATTACGCATACAAACACGTTGCGACTTGTTCTGTTGTATTAATGAAATCGCGTACATGAACGGCTGGCTATGTTGACATTTGAGGTCAATACTGTACAGTAGATTCAGAAATTATTCAAGGGTATTATTAATGTCAATTTTGCGATTGGATGGGTATACTTATGATAAGAACTCGCATTCTTGTATTAAATACACATAAATATATGGATGTATTGATGGATGGCTGCTTAACGTCCAGTGGCAAATAAATATGCATATCCAGGAGGAGAACATGTAAACATGTTATATGAATATCAACCCTGCTGTGTACCAGACCGACACGCTGAGCCTGATTTTTAACGTGATTGTTCACAATGTAACAGAAAAAGAAAGACATTTCACCTTACCATGACTCATTATTCTGACTCCGAGCCGACCAGTCTTTGTTCTTACTCCTTCATGCCGCTTGATTCACGGAGAAGCAGCAAATACAAATTCTGAAGTCATTGGTTTACCCGGCCGGGGTTCGAATCCGCGACCTCCCGCACACGAGGCGAGCACGCTACCACGAGATCACCGAGGCGGTATAAATGTATGTAGATTTGTTTGATATCGCAATAATTAATCTGGCATGTTTGCATGTTCTTAAAAACAATTACAATAATAAATGCACGCAAATATTTCGAAATTTACAATTCCTATCGGGGCCTGTCCTGTATCTTTAAATTCACGCCGGAATAGGTTCAAAGGCAAAATGTCAAAAATGAAAATTATTCCATTTACTCAATATAAATATTGGCAATATTGTTGCTTAAATTTGTTTTTTTTTAATGTTTTGAAATTATTCAGTGTTGCTTTAGTGTCACAAATGCAACTTAAACAACGCACTTATTTAATGTCTCTTCATATATCTAGTTTACCACCACCAGTTTATATATCAATTATTGATTTCCAATGCTTTATATATATCGATATTCAATTAATGAATTAGGGCACATGGCTAAACTGTTGTTTGACCTTAACTGTGAAGCTTAAGCGTTTTAAGTTCCACCACTGAAAACTTCTTGCTACCTTTTTGAAAACAAAAACGAAAATAATTGTTCTTGCAAAATTGACATCTTCAAGTATTGCATGATAATTCGTTCCATGTATATAACTTGTTACTGTTTATTCAGACTGAATCACTTACACTGATGCATTCTAAAGGCTTAGTTGAATATAAAGTGCAGGACATTTCAAAATAACTATTTAGCATTTGAATTTGTTGAACGATATGAACAAGGCTGTTCATGTGTTACCTTTATTGTGTACGAGTGCAGTTCCTATCTGGTATAAGTGTCCATCTGTACCGTAAATACTGCTTTGCATTTGTATATACCATCAGTTTCCGATAACGACTTGGTATTGGTGGATTTCGGTAGGGGCAATGTACCATCAGGCGTCCCTTCAAGATTTTGAATATGTTCCCTGAATTCAGACCAGTGCTCCCAATTGCCAAACGTATAATTAGCAGGGTTCCCGCTCGGATTGCAGATCAGTATTAATTTGTGCTCAGTTAGTCTGCGTGTTATTTCAACAACTGGTGAATCTGTCAAAAAAGTAAATTAGTTATATGAGTCCTATATCTATTCTATTATTTATGAATTGTATTTGCTGAGGTTGTGTCTCAAACTATTTACATTACAGTTTTGCCTTTATTTGTCTTTGCAATATTTTGATCCTTTTGGTCGTATGACTCTTGTTGCTTGTAATTGGTGCACTCAGCTTTCCTGTTCTCAGGATTGGACTATCCTGATGCGGGTGGATCCGGAGGTACGATTCAAAAGCAAAAAACATGTCCAACTGATGTTTTGCTAAATTTTCTAATGGATCTCGCTCGATTGCCAAACTGATTAATTTGCATACGAAACACAATACATATATTGCTCCAAAACCATTTTGAGTTTGGTTAACTACATTTCATGTTCAAGATATTTTGGAGAAGTTCTAAATAAATGCCAAAATCTGTCAAATTGTTGTTATGTCCTAACCTCGGGCGTTCATGATTGTGTGATCAGTTTAGAATTAAGCAACAATATTGTTAGAACCTCAACAGATACATGCTGCTCTGTGATACTGTTAATTGAAGTTAAGATTTAAAGACATTATGAAAAGTGCCCTCGCTTGACATTATTTTAAAGGAAGTTATCCGTATCTGTTTTTAACAATACACCCCAAAACTATTCAAATTATTAAAAACACTGTGAAGAAAGCACTTTCCTTTAATCCTTTGAAATTATTCCTTGTTTCAAACGGTATGCCACCAATATCTTAATGATTTACTTACACTGAATATCCAACTGTACTTTAAATGACAGTGGATTAGCTAGGAATGTACTGTAGGCAGAACATACAATTGATTGCATGTTTTCCTTTTTTGTTGGAATGAAGGAATATGTTACACAATCTCTTCTCTCTTTCCAAGTAGATATTCCATTTGTTTTCAAAACGAGTGTTGCTGCTGGTCTGCCACTTTTGACAATACACACGATCGTTAGATTTTTTCCTTCGATTCCGCGAACAACTTGTTTTCGCTTTTTCATGATTACTTGATGTATTGTTAAGTTGGAAGGTAAACCTATAATATATAAAATTGATTCCACTTTTTTAAAAAACTGTAACAATTAACCTCTAGTGTGTATTTTTTCACCGACTTAGGATATATGGGAAGTTCAAATAATTTTGAAGAAGGTGGAAAAGAACCGCAATTCATTAGATATCATATAAACAAGTCAGCACTTATGTGGTGACATGAAGTATCATTCATATGGTCATACTTTTAAACTATGTGTTACAAAACTTTAACATTTTCGAAATACTAAGAATATTTTACCCTAGGAATAGATAACATAAGCTGTATTTGCCTGACCCTTCGGAATTTGTGGTACTCAATGCTCGTCAACATTGTACTTTGTTTGACTCTTTTGATCTTTTTTGATTCGAATGTCATTGATGAATCTTTTGTAGACGAATCGCTCGTCTGGCATACAGAATTTTAATCCATGTATCTATCATGAGTTTATTGTCATGACAAATTCGCTACATTTAAGCTATGTGAATAAATCAATTCTTAATAAGACCGTTTGTGTATTGGTGATAAATAACCCTTGGCCAACTTTACTATATCATAGCAGCAAGCTTTTATTAACGGAGGAAACTGGAGTAACATGAGTGAATCATGTGAATAACCAACCTTCAACAGAAAATGTGGCAATCCTTGTCCTTGAAATGCCTGTACCAAGTGGGGAATATGACAGTTGCATTCCAATCCTTTGATGTGTTTGAGCTTTTGGTTTTGCCATTTGATTAGGGAATTTTCGTTTTGAATTTTACTTGGAGCTCGGTATTTTTATTATTATTAATTTTTGAATACTTACTTTTTAATTGCACATTGTAAACATTATAATGTGCATCTGTACCAGGACTCCAAAATTTGCATGTGTAGCTTCCTTCATCCGCAGATGAGAAACTTCTTATCTTGAGGTTGCATTTACCAGTGTGGGTTCCACCAATGATATCAATATTAGTGTTTTTCAGTTTTGGATTCAGCAAGTGTCCATCAGTGTATAGTATATATGTTTTATCTGTCGCATTGCTGTCCATTGAAGATGGTACTGCCTTTTTCGATATACGCCAGGCACATTCAGATTGATCATACTTATAACAATTAAGTTCAACGGTTTCATTCGTGCCAACAAAAACAGTCTCATGTGGATAATACACACCTTGTACGACACAACAGAAACACAACATTAAAATGTAACACACACATAAACGAACTATAATATAACAGTGGCCATTTTCCTGACTTTGTACAGGACATTTTAAGAAATAAATGGTGGGTTGAACCTGGTTTTGTGGCTAGCCAAACCTCCCGATTGTATGGCAATGTTAAAGATTACATTAAAATGATAACATTACATGACAGGAATACAATACAAAAAAATGGGAGAACATATAGGACAGAGAAACATACGAATAATAGCTAACAAAAGGTACCAGGTTTAAAATTTAAGACGCGCGTTTCGTCCACACAAGACTAACCAGTGACGCTCAGATAAAAAAAGTGCAAAGCCAAAACAAGTACAAAGTTGAAAAGCATTGAGGACCAAAAGTTCCAAAAAGTTGTGCCAAATACGGCTAAGGTTATATGTCTGGGATAAGAAAATCCTTAGTATTTAGAATACTTCATACTTTTGCAAACAGTAAATTTATACAAATGACTATATAATAGATATACATGATAACACCGAAGTGGTGACTAACTACAGAATAAAACCGAATACATAAAACAACATAAACCAGCACATAAAAATTCACAGCCGAGTTAGCCAAAGAGATCAACGCAAAAAAAAGGTGACATCACATTTGAATTTCAAACTACTCTTAAGAATATAAAAAAAATCATTAAACTATCTTCAGTAAAATAAGTCATTGCAAATGCTTGAGTCAGTTAATCTGTCAAAGCGTCACCTGATTATGGCTAGTGTTTTCAGTAACCGTTGTATTCCACTGTTTGTCAGATATATTTGCTGTTAAAAAGAAACCGTATCCTAAATGAGTATTGAATACTCTAAAAGACCAGACAATATTTGCGGTATTTGGGTTCAGACTTCTGTATGGATTTTTCTAGACAAACTTAAATCATATACTGTGTATATAACCATGGAAGTCAAATGTTGATATATTCACACCACAGTACAACTTACCTGGAGAACGAAGTTCACACATTACATTGTGTAATACTAACAGCTCCAAAAAACTGCTAAACAATATCATATCTGTAATAAAAATGTATATAGCGTGAATGATAAAAACGGTAGGGTACACTTTTGAATAACATGATATAGTCAATTTAAACAGACCCAATTCATTGGAGTTTTTAATGTATCACTTATACCATTTAAATGACTTGTTTCAGACTACAGCGCTTATTTTCAAGTATCAATAACTAACTTATATTGAAAATAAATGTATTGCTAATTAGAAGATGATACCAAAATAAATCATAAAGAAATACCTAATGCAATGGTGTGTATTTTTTTTCCTGATTTGCAATGTAAGGATGTATAACTTCATAAAACAATTTTCGAACTGTCCAATAAAATAATATTTCCGTTATTCAATTAAAACAAAACACCATTTAATCGGAAATTATCAATCGATGTTCAAGAGTTTCGTGCCGGAATAAAATAGAAAACGAGGACGAAGTATTAATGGTTAAATACAATTTTCCTGAACTCAAAATATATAATTTGAAACATGTCTCTACATTGAAGTATTACAACTAAGGATTGTTTTAATTGTGTAATATGTTTACATGAAGAGTATACACTATCAGTTTTGTTTCTCTAAAGCATGTTTTATTGTTTATATCATGTGTTGACTCCATGATTTTAAATAAAATTAGATAGAATAGTATGAAATTTATGGTAGGTACAGTAATTAATTCATCTTCCAGTCTCATAAATCATAATTTATCTTTTAAAAGGAAGATACACATATGTGTACCATATACAAAAAATTGAGTGACTCGCAAGAACTTCGATACGAACAAACCCGCTTGAGTTGACAGTGTAAGCGTGTTTAATGATAAACATGCACCACCCGAATGGGAATTCAAACGCAGTCAAAAAGTCTTTATCGGGAATAGAATATAATCTAAAAAAATACAGATAAGATGACTATGCTGGTATCTAAAGATCATAGACCGCGAAACCTACCACTAGTAAATTGATACACAGACAAATCTTTTAGGTCAACCAATTCGTAATAGTGACCGTAAATTTTAAGTACTTAGGGTTTTAATCTTTCTTCCTCATTTCTCTGTTAGAATAGTATTTGAGTAAGAAACCCATCCATGTTATTGAAGTCCGCATAGTGTGAATATGCACAAGCATATGCCTTGTAATACATGTTATATATTACATATACATGTTATCAAGTTATATATCAAATATGAATTTTGCAGCTGCTACTCAGATTGTATAAAAAAAAGCAAAAAGATGATGAACAAAGGTTATTCTCGTCCTTTGTCTAAAACAATTCAACGGAGGATACCAAGAGCTTGTTGATAAATATTTCGTATTAACCTCACAAATTATACATATTTTTAACCTTTACTGTTTAGTCCATTTTTGGTAATATACTTTTGGCGTTGCTCGGTATTTATACTTTCCGCCATTGTAACTATTGTGATATGGTTATTTTTCATTCTTGTCTTTCATTTTTGCTAATTTACTTTGTCTTTAGATAGTTTTTGTGTTATCTCTGTTGAAATAGTTATTTGTTTTTATAGTGATTAAGATTATAACACAATGCTGACTGCTGTACCACAATTTTTGACAAATTTACCTATTATGTCTGTTTGTTTTCCTCACACATTGTTGTCAATAAAATGAAATTCTACATGTTCTATGCGACTGTCATACACGTGAGAGGTTAAGCTAGCTACAAAGCTAGATTTAATCCATCTTAATATAAATAAAGGAAATGCATGTGCAAGTCAGGAATATGAAAGTTGTTTTCCATTCGTTTGATGTGTTTGAGCTTTTGATTTTGCCATTTGAATTTTACTTGGAGTTCATTATTTTTGCTATTTATTTATTTAATTTTTTTTGGACAATATTCTTCAAAGTTATTGTGACTGTCTGCCTTAATGATCAACATGTCATAGTATGCAGGGCATATATAGTTTGCCATTCAATTGTATACAGAAAATGTAGACGTGATGGAATTCAACAAGTTTTACATATTTTGACATACTAGTGACTTTGTACTTTTTTTCAAAACTTTCTCAAGAGATTGTATTATATTTTGGGTCGCACTGGTTGAGCATACATGTAAGAAAACTTGTTATAAAAAAAAATGAATGTAACAAGTAAAATCACCGTTTTTCAGTTGTCAATGACCACTCAGTTCTCCGTTTTGTTTTTAAGTATGTTTAAGAAGGTTGCATTTCATTCTGAAGGCTTCAATTATGTTTAACGACACGGTACTGGACTTGTTATATATATGAAACATTATTAAGATCATTTACAAGTTTTTATTTTCGAACAATCTCAATCTGAACGAACAATAGACCATTGTCTCTTTACTATGTTAAGCTGCAGATTATGTTTAACTCTGTTTACCAGCTAATATCAAATTTGTGCAATGACTAATACATTTTCCTCTGGACTTAACACTCATACAAATGAAGAACTAAAGGCAGACACTGACGAGGTTCATGACTTGCAAATGTTGAACAGACACATTAACATGTATAATCAGGTTTTTTGACACTTTATCTCGATTTAACTTTCTGGAAATATCAAAGGAATTTAATAGGCTGTCCATCTCATCTATCCGAAATGAGAAAGAAATCCATGACTCTTCGACTCTGTACAATAGCGCCTTCTCTATACATACTATAGAAACTTAAATGTACATCAGTGTTTATGATTCTGACGTCATTGTTTTTATTTTGAAATATTGCAATGCATATACCAAACGTTAGATGTTTAATATTAAGAAATAGCATGATTTTCAACAAAAATAGCACAGCTATGTAATTATTGAAAATGTCACCTTCACATAATTCGAATTGTAACTTGATTCTAAATTAACTCAAAACGTGAAGCCGACTGTTTCTTGCGCTTAAAATCAAAATATACACACTGAAGCGCATTTTGATATATCAAAAGTATGAATAATTGTGCTGGTGATAAGTAATCGACATCTAATATTTAAATACAGTACATTATTAGGTTTTTTAAATTCTATTCTAACGTTTAAGGTCAGTCATGTACAGAGGCAATAATAGGTGCACCTGATGGGTCAAAAGATGAATCAAATATATGTTGTCAATATCGATCTAATTGATAGCCAGTTTCCATGTGAACAAGAAGTCTAGCAATTAATAAGGCAAATATAATCTAGTTACAAATGAAACTGTTTTATGTAGATTTAAAAAAATATTCTTAGCCAAACGATTAATATGTTATAATACGAAGTTATTAGCCAAAATGAAGACGCACATGTATAGTATATCATGAATGATTAAATGGTTAGAAATGTTATTATGGAAACTTTCTTTTGTTTGAGTAGAAGAAGTATTCTAGGTAATGTTGTCATATTGAGGAGAGTTAGTCATTATTCAGTTGACATGAGTGATTCAATATTGTAGGTGAAACGTGAATTGGAAATCCTGGTTTAAGAGCTGCCTTGTATTTCAAATATCACATAAACGTCTGGTCCAAGACCACAACTTATGACCCTTATTCTCGTTATTCACGAATATAGATCCATTTTATTAAAGTGTATTTTTTCTTTCTCTTTTTTCTTTCGCTTTCTCATTCATTTCTAAGTTTGTATGGGTTGGAAATAAAAGAAGAGAGCTAAAAAAATGTGTTTGATGCAGTATTTTAAATGATTTAAATATGAAAATAGTGATTACGCCAGGTACACACAGGTAATATATACAGTTATCGGAACATCTCTTGACTTGTCCATAGGGGTATGGATGTGTATTGCCTAAATTTGTAAGGTTTAAAAGTTCAATTTTTCTGAATGTTGGATATTAAACACACAAAAGATTTGACAAAAATAAGAGATTCGATTTTTTTAATGAGATAAAACGTTATAAAAAAGTAATAGATACATAAGTTGTGGTATGTGGCTGTCTACTCCGATTGCGCGAGGTTATAGCCAATGATTCCGACCGTCATCCATGTAATTGATGGCAGAACTCCTACACTCAAAATTGCATTATGATTGAAATAAACAGAATGTGTATTGCAATATGAGATTCAAGAACAATAAAGTAATTCTGTAGAAGCTCGTTGTTCGGAATTTTACTAATAACTGTCGCTAAGTCTATATCATGAGGTATGTTGTTTATTATTGCAAACCAGATCCTTCTTAATGTATAATCCTTTATTATCCCTTAGTTTTGTTAACCTTCAATGATTTAAAAGTTTTTTTTTTGTCTTGATTTTAGTTGTTGGTAATCTCCTTAATCTTAATTCTTAATTTGTTCAATACGCGCCTGTTTGCAGCGAAATCAAAATGTAATTAACGTATATATTTTATTATTAAAAACAACCTTTAACAGTGTCACATATGCTGTATATTGGTAATCATTTTACCCCATGATATAAAAAATTAGGATGTTTTGATTTCACTAAATGAAATTCATTGCACAACTGTTTTTTCCCTTAGTTCTGTTAACCTTCAATGATTTAAAATCTGTTTGTTTTTGTCTTGCTTAAAGTTATTGATAATCCTCTTAATCTATTTATTGAATGCGAACAACTGTACTCGTATGTTCCCTTAATTACCATTAACTCCGAAAGTGTTTGGAGGAATAAATGTAAGAATTGATCAATGAAAATATGATCCAACGACTTCCTTAGAAGGAAAGAATCAATGTTAAGAAATGAACAATTCTGAATTTGTTCAATACGCACCTGTTTGCAACGAAATCAAAATGTAATTAACGTATACATTTTATTATTTACAAACAACTTTAAACAGTGTAAATGAGGCTGTATATTGGTAATAATTTTACCCCATGGTATGAAAAAAATAAGGATGTTTTGATTTCACTAAATGAAATTCATTGCACAACTGTTTTTGTTTTAGTTAACCTTGCTTAAATGGAAATATAATTCTCACAAACGTGAACTACCGAATCAGATTAATCATCGGGTTTGTACTTACATGAGCAACATGACAGATGCTGTATAGATCATGTTCAGCTTACCCATCCAAAGCGCGACCAAGATCATTCAAGGGTTTTTGTTGCGTTTCTGTTGCTCAGTTTGTATTCTATGTTATTTGTTTTGTGTACTTTTGTTTGTGTTTTCGTCGTTTTTCATTCTTATGCCACAGTATTGTCAGTTTGTTTTGACTTATGAGTCTGAATATTCCTTTGGTATCTTTTATAAGGCAGTTGTTATCAAATAGTCCGTTTCTATGTATGTTGGCTTTTGTTTTTTGTAGCGGTGCAGTGCTTCTGTTGTTCCAGTTGTTTTCCTCTTATAGTTGATGTGTTCCCTTGGTTTTAGTTTGTAACCCGGATTAGTTTTCTCTTTATATATTTATGACTTTTGAACAGCGGTATACTACTGTTGCCTTTATCTATAAGAATTGGCGTTCAAATTCAATGTTTTGATTGATTGATTTTGGATTAAACTTGATTTTCTTATATTCCTTTCAAAGGATGAATGACATGATTAAGTTATTTTCTTCGCTCTTCTTAATACCAAATTTTTGTATATCTATTTAATGGTTTTTAACGTTTCTTGTGATCATATTATGCAAAGTGTTTCTGTCGTGTATTTATTTCCGCTTGAACTGGAAGCAGTTATTCGACTGGGAATACAATAAGGATATGAGGTATGGGTTTCAATGAGGTAACGATCAAACAAAGACCAACGTACACGGATGAACATAGATATAGGTACTAATAGTTACCATGTGGCATCCAAACTGTAGATAAAGCAATTTCATACATTAATCTTTAAGTGCAATTATGATACGAACTTGTTTAATTATTAAAATGAGACAATTTATATATTTAACCAAAAACAAGCATGACAGACGGTAGCTGACGTAATTTTTTCCTGTACAGGGACAATTTCAAAACATGTGTATTTGTTGTGTTTGTGTGCTTTTACGGATCTGCTCTAGGCAATTAGACGCTAAGACGATTCCATGGTACTTGTGTATTTCATCTTGCGTAAATGTACCTGTAGTTATTAAGAACAGTTGTGTTTGTTTATATCTTTGTATTGTGTATTTTATTTCGAAAATCTGATGAGTATTGCAAGTCCTTGTTGAATTTGGCGTTGTTGATGGTATATATTAACTGGTACCTTTTAATACATTTCTTGATTTCAAATGTTGAAATCTGAGCTTTTCTGATGAATTTCGTTCAAGACGCTAGACATACATTACCTTTAACTTTCATACAATAGCAATTGGTCGATAATACTACTGGTGGAATATCAGTCATCAAGAGTATCATCAGCTCAAAAATCGGTGCGTCCGTACACACATGATTATTACATGCATTCCAAAATTACCCGTTGATAATACCCTGACGATGCAAGTGGCCTCCCTCCTTTTGGAGTTTATCCGATTCACTCAGTTTTTTGCTAATATCTTGACTTGTCCTTTCCTAATTGATTTACACAATTTGAATAACGGTAAACTACTGTCGTCTTAGTTAATAAATTAGGAAATTATTACTTAACTAGTGTTTCAAATCCTCCATGCAATGCTGGCCTTAGATGATTGGGCTATTTTCTAAAGTTACCTCTTGGTGATATACTTTAGTTCCTAGCGTGTCTACGTATTTAAACGGGTTAGTAGTGTTACCTTGAGAAACGACTTAATACTTTTCCCCGACTAAGAATGTCGGAAATGTAAGGGCAGATATTTTATCATGCAATTGGCCTGAAAATGTACTTATAATTCACATTGGTGTGACTCGATCAGTCATAAACTACTCATAAAAAACAACAAAACATTGGTAAAAAATAGATTAAAAGAAAAACAACGTTCCTTCAAAAACTACTAAGAAAACATCAGAGAAAACAGAAGGAACCCTACTTAAAGCCTTGCAAAACTTCTGACGGATTAGCAGCTCCTGGACTACCTGCGATAACAGTTATGATAGTCCTGGGCGATAACAGTTATGTTAGTCCTGGGCGATAACAGTTATGTTAGTCCTATTGGAATTCGTTGTTGAGTCACATCAAGTGATAAGTCATCACACAGATACGGAAAGGTAAATTACTTGTATCATTTAACTCTAATATATAACCAAATGCATTGATCATCGGCCATGTTAATTTTCTAACAGTAAAAACGGACCAAAGGCAAATGATTATTGGATAATAAATACAAGGACCACATTTATTAATAATCTTATGTTATGTAGTACAAGTCTACTAAAAATTGAAATCTGAATTCTAAAACTTTATCTTATTATTTCAGCATCAAGTTAATATATTCTGCCTCATTTTTCCGTTGATCAATGTGTGACCTGTGAAAATCATTGTCCTTTTTGTCGAAGTCGTTATCAATATAACTCAGATTCGTATTTTCTTGGTCGTTATTTTCATAAACATGTGGGTTTGTTTCAACCGTTGGTGTATCATCATTTCTTAATTCAAAAGAACGTCCACAAGCTACTTTCTCAAACGGTGTTGAATTTTCATAGATGCCGAATTTATTTGTAGTGAGATAAACATGTGGGTCGTCAGCATGATTTTGTACCACCAGTGTTGTGTATGGTTTTTCGTAACCATCATCATAATTTTCTGAAGTGTCTATGTAATTGTCGGATGATGCTGATGAATGTCCCGAGGACTGCGGGGCTGTATTTGTATTTTCAACACCAATAATATTGACCGTTGAACTAATCGGATTATCGTTTTCTGAAATAGTAAAATCGCAACATATAACATTCATTTTAACTAAAACACGTATATATTTCTTCATGAACTAACGCTAATGTTACACAAAAAAACATTTTAGTACGTTCTTATCATATTCTACTATAATTGAATAAATGTTATTGTGTTTATTTGTTTATTTCTCAACCTATTAACAAAAATACATATTCAGAAGGTTAATCTGTTAATCCTTTTTTGTTAATGGTACTAACCCAAAGTCAGAAAACTTGAATGACTCTGTTCAGATTGTTTAACAAGTTGTTTTGAAATTAAGCTGGCAGTAGTAATGACTGTGTGTAGGCTAATTTAACAATCCAATCTTTATTGACTAGGATTGTTAGTTTTCCTACAGAAGGTCGCTAGTTCTCTTCGGGGAATTCGGCTCCCTCTACCAATAGACAATGACTGCCCCGAAATAGCACAAGAGTGCTGAAAGTGGCGTTAAAACACCAATCAATCAATGTACTTGAAAGCCGTATCTACCATTTTCATGGGTTGTTGAATCTTTAATCAATCATTTAAGTATTATATTGACAAGATAATAAGACTTTCATGCTCCGATAAACAGAAACTAAATAAACAAAATCATATCGTAGAGAACATAACAAATAACAAATCGAGAAGGAAAAGGATCTGCATCTACACAATTGCTAATTGATAATTTGATTTTAATTGCTAAATTTATTTGTTATCTGTCATTATTTAAGTGAAAAATTTCATCACACTGCTAGATATTATTTTATTAATTTGCTGATATTTTATTTTTTTCAACGGACATAACGTTAGATTATTCTTAAACTAAGTTTATTTAAAGTAAGGGGAATCATAAGAAAACACATTAAATCAACAAACTCAAACTTGGGGAATTGCACGTAATCCATAAGGAGTGGGACCAGGTGCTTCAACATAAAGAAATAGTTGCAATTATGATAAAAACAATATGGTTCATGTATAAACTATAACCACATTTTCCTCTTGAAATAATCGTTAGTTGTTTGTCAAACGAACTGACGGATTAATATGCCCTCTTTTTAAACGGTCAAAATGTTTGGAAGCATCGACAACTCATCGATGCGTTTAATTATGTTTAAGATACAATTTGTCAAAGCCAGTTGCAAATACCAACAACATTTATAATGAAAAAGTGTAATTGACATCACATAAGTACGAGTCCAATGTAAACATGACCGAAGAACTCTTAGGGACCAACACCCATTAGCACACCAATTAACTTGTAAGTAGTAATTCGAATTAGAACGTTACCATTTTCTCTAATTGTACTTTGCAATGTGATGCGTCTGTTATCATCTCCATTTATCTCTGTATAATGAGCACTTTCATCACTACTGGCCTCGGTTGTTGGGACATTTGTTGTTGTTATCATCCTAAATATTAATACAGATGTAAATAGAATTAAAATTGAAATGAGCAAAGTAACATCTTGTAAAGACTATTTATTCAAAACGTGTATTGCTCATAGCTAAGTGTATGAAAGTTCCGTTTTGATATATTGAATTTAAGTAATACTTTTTTACTTGATTTCATAGTTTTTAGTCAAATAGTTCTTGCAGCCGCAGACGTTACTATCTTGGCAATCATCAATCGGTCACCCATTAGTAAATAAATCATTGTCCTTTTTGACTAAGTCGTTATCAATTTAACTAAATTTCGCATTTTCTTGATCGTCATGTTCATAAACATGTGGGTTTGTTTTAACAGGTGAAGTATTTTGTTTCCTAATTTCAAAAGAACGTTCACAAGCTACTTTCTCAAAAGATGTTGAATATTCATAGATGGAGAATATATTAGTAATGAGATAAACATTTTCGTCGTCAGTACGATTTTGTACCACCAGTGGTTTGTCTGGATGTTCATACCAATCATCATAATTTTCTGAACTATTTGTGTTATTCTCGGATGATGCTGATGAATGTTCTGAAAACTGCGGGACTGTATCTGTATTTTCAACACCAATTATATTGACTGTTGAAATAATCCGACTATTGTTTTCTGAAATAGTAAAATCGCATTTTTTAACGTTCATGTTAACCACAACACGTGTAATATTTCTTCTTAAACTAACGCTTGTGTTAAATGTAAAACATTTTATTACAATTTGATCATATTTGACAAATAATAATGACCGCTAAGAAATAGCACAAAAGTGCTGAAAGTGGCCTTAAAACACCAATCAATCAATCAATCAATAAACTTGCGTGTCGTATCTACCCTTTAATGAGCTATTGAATTTATTTCAACATGTAGAACTAGTTGCACAGATATAGTATTATAAAAAAAAAAGTTTACGTATAAATTATAACCATAATTTCCTCTTGAATTAATCGTGAGTGTTTTGTCATTCGAATTGACGGAATAATATGTCCTCCATTTAAACAGATATAAATAAAATTTCTCAAAGCCAGTTGCAAATATCGACAATATTTATAATCAAACAATGAAATTTACATCGCATTTGTACGAGTCCAATATAAACGGGACCGTTGAACTTATAGTGACCAACTTCCATCAGCATAGGTACCAACCTATAGCTAGTAAATCACGTTAGAACGTTATCATATCTGTTTTTATATGTGTACCTTGCAATGTGGTCCGTCTGTAATCCTCTCCAGTTATCTCTGTATAATGGGCACTTTCATCATTACTTGCCTCATTTGTTGGGATATTGGTTGGTGTTATTATCCTGTACATTAATGCATTATGTAAATAAAATTAAAAATGAAATGAGGAATGCAAAATCTTGTAAAGACTTTTAAAACAGACGACTATTTATTTTAAAAAGTGCATCCTCGTGTGTAAGCGTTTAAAGTTCCGTTCTTATATTATGGATTTGAGTAATCCTTTTATGATTGCGTAGTTTTTAGTTATACAGTTCTTGCAACTTATGCACTACTGTTTTTGGCGATCATCAATCCGTCACCGACTAGTCATATTCATCTCAAGTTCACATAAAAAAGTCACCAATCCGTCAAATTTAAGCAGAGAAACTTTGATAGAACTAATCGGACGGATAGGAGAGATCGATCCGTCTCGCCAACTTGAACCCTTTTACGTCGCGGTTGACCGTTGGTTTATTACAGAATAATTACCGTGGGTTTATATAAGATGCCTGGCCGAAGATGTTTTCTATTGTTTGTCATTATTTGTTTTTTTAGTTTTTGCCATGGCGTTGTCAGTACTAGTTCGACTTGTGAATCTGAAAATCCCTTTGGTATCTTCCGCCTCTCCGTTAATCTACACGAACAAATTTGAAATACCGGTTCTCTTTTACTTTTACTATTATATAAACAAAAACCATCCAGAAGTATAACAATTACTAATAAACAATGACAGTAAAACATTATAAGCGTTTCGTAATATATGTTGCAATAACTCAAGCAAGAATTTGATTCAAACTACATTAAACTTGAGTGTATATAAGCAGGATAAGCGCTGTCGTTGTGTGAAAAGGGAGAGGGTGCCCACACAGTTACAATTATGAGCAGAAATAAGAAAGTATCACATCCTGCAGACTCATTGTAAAGATTGAGATCTAAATTTAGAATTGAACGTTATGTTTGTTATGTAACACACATATAAGAAAATAAGAGTACGAATGAAACAATTGGCATCATACGGTGGACAATCATTTCTGATTTTTTGCAATAATCATTGCGATCAAGTTGCGTACACATGATCGATAGAAGTGTTGTCGTCGAAGTACGCGTTTGTCGCATGTCTATATTGCGTAGATATTTCAATTATATATGTATTCGCCCGATTTGTGCATTCAATTAATGTTCTGGTCGATTAATGATTGTTACGTAACTAGCACATGTAATCTGTCAGATAACGAGTCTTCGGATCATCTATCAATCATGAATTATTCACCTATCGCTCAACTTAACGCCAAACAGTTATGTCAATGGTAACAAGTACTGTTATTTGTTTGTATGACTTTTAATTGGAAATATAATAAACATATAATACAAAATAAATGTCGCTGATAGAGTAGTTTAGAATTGCAAACTTTTTCCTAATTTTATGTATGATTACAGTTCATTGATTACTGATCATATAATCATTTTTTAAATAATGTTGTGATTTTTTGTATAATCTATGACAATGTATCGTTAATTATTCACAATTGTTTTCAAAGATGATCTCAGGTAAAAACTCATTTGAAAAGAATATCATTAATCAATAACAGGTGTACTATAAAAAAATATTTTAAATTTATTTAAATCCCCGAATTTATGTTTAGACATGAGTGTTAGTTTTTCGAGATAACGAACGCAATTTAAATGATTATGTTAACATTGGGACCATAATTTCGTTATAGACAACTCGACTCATCCAATTACGACTCATTAGGAGCAGACATACATATATTTATATGTAAAAAGTAAAATACCAATACAGGCATTTCCTTATGTAGAAAATGGTGGATTAAACCTGGCTTTATAGCTAGCTAAACCTCTCACATGTATGACCGTCGCATACAATTCCATTATATCGTCAACAATGTGTGAACAAAACAAACAGACATAATAATGTTTAGGACCACAAGACTTTTCGATTCATTGGAAATCGCAGGTCAACCGAGTTCGAGACAACGACAGTCAACTGTAGATTACTATAAAAGCAATGTATTACTAAACACAAAGCATTAATTAAAAAAGGGCAAACCTTAACCGTACAAACCAAAACGAATCAAGTAGTCATTCGAATACTTTCTAAAATCATTATTACTAATATAGTTGATATCCTAAACATTTTGGAAAATTAACAAGCATGATTGGCTTGGACTTAATGAAAACATATCTTATCATTCTAAAAAAAAAAGACACATACCTTCTCTTTATCTTCTGCTTCAGGTACCCTACAATTTGAAACATGACAAAAAACATACATAGCATTATTAGTTACATAGTGTGCTAGTGACCTAATAAATATGTTTGGGGTCAGTAAATTTTATATTGGGTAGAAGCGAAGAATCCCCATATGGAATTTACTGACGCAGTATATATCGTATCAGGTCACTAGTGTAACGAATTTATCCAACCGACTATCAAAGTGATCAAGACTTCAATACCGTTAGTATTAAGAACCTACTTCCATTGGTCCATAAAAACAAATGCCAACAATAACAACTTGTAAGCTTTAAACGTGTTTTATGAATTTATTTCAATCGTTCATCATCATTTCTCCGTCTTAACCTTTCAGATTTTTCCTCAACACCGTGTTGTTTTTATTAAGGGACGTAACACCACTACTAACCGTGTATTGAAATAAGCTCCGCCTACTGACCCAATATGAAATATACACGGTCTCCACGCGGCTGCTTTTAACCCAGCATATTCCTAGAAATTTATAGGAGGTAAGATAATTATTAATATTGAACATGTTAATGAATCATTTTAAAGAATTGACTTATATCATGTTCAATTTTGAAATCTAACAATATTCTTACTTTTCTATTTATTCGTTGACATTGAATCTTAGTGCTACACATATCATTATCTGTCTATTCTATTACAGTAAAATGATTTCATTATATAGTGCTTATTTCAAAGTATTTTCTGCTCGTTATGTTGAATACGGTTTCAACGTTACATTCAACAATTATGTTATGACCGTTTGAAAACGTCATTGTTAATTTGTAAAGGCAAAATGTAAATATTCATACTCTATAATGCAATTTTGAATAAAACAAATAAGCTAATATCAATGTTTTTTTTTTTCCCAAAACATACGGTTATTGAGACATTCATGAACACAATGGTAAAAGGGTTTTTTTCGTCTCAAGAATGGTCATTGTATTATTTGGCACATACTGTTTATATTTTCGATGATACATTTCGATTTAGTAGTAGATATTACAAATACTAATCATCTCATTAATTAAAACAAACACTATGTACTTACGAACGTATAATCCAACCCCAGCTCCTAGGACTGTTAGAATTATGCATAATACTACATAGACGATGCCTTGGTAAGATAGTGACGTTTTAACTGATGATTGGTTGTCTAAAAAGTGTTAAACATATTTTTCAATCAGAAAATCGTAAAATTACTATACAAACAACTACATGTATAAGATATAACAAAGTAATTTATCGATCCTGCCATTGAGAAATATCATAACAAGGGCATTTTCATCTGTTAAACATATTTGGCAACTCTATGAAAAAGTTTAAACCACTATACACACTTTTAGAACACATTCTGTTAATTTCCACCAGCGCTAAATGACGTACTAGTTTGCAACTATAGGTAAACATACGGCATTCAACAATAAGCGAACCCTATATCACATAGCACGGCATAAAAGTACTCGACAAGATGAACGTTTAGCAATTCAAACAAGAGAACAAAAGGCCCGATTTGAGAAAAAAAAACCAACAAAAATGATCAACAGCAACAAACGACAACCACTGAAATTTAGGCTCATGACTTTGGACAGGCACATACAGCATGCGACGGGGTTAAACATGTTTGTTGGCGTCATACCCATCTCATAACCTGGCCAGTTGTTTAACATGATAACATATTCAAATCAGTTGAAACAGGCTTGCCCCATCATATAGACAAAAAGCACACAAAACACAAATTGAATTTGCCTGAATCTTAGACACACTGGCACTTAAATGACGTAGACGTTACCAACTATAGGTCAACGGATGGTATTTTTTGTTTGGTTAGTTATTTTGAATATATTTTTTCATCTAGGTATTTTTAATAGTTAAATAAGACATCGACTATTTGTCATAATTTAATGTACAATAACATGCTGATTTAATCAAACAACGAAGGATTTTAATACATACTATTAACATATCGTCTCCGAAGACACTCAAAATATTGTCTTTTATTTTGAAGGCATTTTTAAAGAATAAGGTACATTTAAGATGTATGTGTCACTGCAAATTGAATGGAAATAGATTTTTAAAAATCAGATTTTTATACTCGAAATGTAAAGCTTAAAAATGAAAAAAAGAAAAAAATAGCCAAAGCATTGGCTACACAGTTTGAATGCAAGGTCATAAAGTGAAGTCTTAGAAAAACATTTAAGATTTTGTTTTTTTAGATCATTTCAGGAACATTTTGGTTACTAGTAAAAAGACAGAAGGTGTCGTCCAACTTTGTTTGCCACTGCTAGATAAATCACAAAACACATATCATGCGTAAACATGATTTTTGGCGAAAATTTTATTCTTTATTATTTTTGAGCTTGTTCGAACCAGAGTATCCCAAAATGCTATATTTACTAATTACAAAGATACGATTACTAACAAAATATCTCAAGACACAAAGTAGAAATCTGAAAGTACTCGCAGTCACCATGGCTATTGACAGCTAGTCCAAAGCCAATATCAACTAATAAAATAGTCATGTATCAAAGACATAAAATAAACCAATCTGTTAACAACCAATTGACTCATTGTAAAGTCAGCATAAACAGTCACAGAAAAACTATGCTTTAATTTGGAATCTTCTGTGTATTTTCCGACGTGCTTACTTTTAAAAAATAAACAAGGAATGTTCGTGAATGATATTAAAAGGATTACACTGCGCTTGCTGACATACCACGATTGTAATATATAAAATTGAGGATGGAAACAGGGAATGTGTCAAAGAGACAACAACCCGACCAAAGAGCAGAAAACAGCCAAAGGCCACCAACGTGTCTTCAACACAGCGAGAAAATCCCGCACCCGAAGGAGGGCTTCAGCTGGCCCCTTAGCAAAAATGTGTACTAGATCAGCGAAATGGACGTCATAATAGTACACATATGATCATGACTATCATTCTTGAATTAGTTTTAATAAAGAAAAAGTACCTGCTATAAGGTTGACAAAGTTAGTATGATTTTAAGTATTATCCATATTTATGTTTAATCGTTGCAAAGATCAAATGTTGGAAAAAAATAGGCAGAGGGTACCAAAGTGTTTCCAGATTTAATTAAAAATTCATAATAGAGAATATAACTCAATTGGTAAATTCACAGATCAGACAACTATTGTGGTATCGTATCAACACGATTAACACTAAGTATCACTGACACTAAAAAATTGAGAGATTGTGAAGTGTGAATTCCTTCTCAAAACAAACATGAAACAGAGTTAGACATTTCTTTGTCAGAGAACGTAATATTTCTAAACTTGAGATCAGCCTAAGAATTTGACAACACGAATTTCATGATAATAAAGGAGTTTACTACATTAAATAACTAGTTTCGTAATGTAGATGGATACCGTGCACTAATTACATTTATCAACTGTTAAACACAAATGTTTTGCAATATTTTGTGTATTTCTTGATGCATCTTATAGAAACATGCACATTTACATAATCTCCTTTAGGAACGTGAACAACCTAACCGAGTATCAAAACATGAAGTGTAAGTAGGATCACAATAACTCAATCGACATCACCATGATGCCATGACTTAAAAAAGGCACAAACACAGGCACCTGTTGTTAATACTTAATACTCAGTATTGACAAATTGCTGACCTAAAGTCATTACAGGAGTGACAGCGGTCCTTTTGCTTTCACCAATTTCGTTTCTTGACAACAGCCGAACAAAATATTGAGTGTTTGGAGTCATGTTATACAGGATATTTGACATCCTAACCTGCATGTTATCAATTATAGGTCCTGACCGTGTCCATATTTCATCGGGTTCTTGTTGATATTCTATGAAAAATGTCTGAGGTTCTCCTTCGTTATATGCAAGACACCATGATACTGCTATATGTCTATCATATGGAATTACTGACACATTTGTAGGAGGTTCGGGGCGATCAGCTTTGTAGTAAAATTTACATACTACAGACATTAAGTGAAACACAAGATTTTTGTAAGTACTGTTTTAAATTAAACGTAATCAATGTTTTAAGACAAATTTATACCGCAACCATGTGATGAATGTACTTTTGATGTCAATTGAAATCGAAAAAATATACCTAAGACTAGATGTTTATTGTTGAATATGTTGCAAATAATACAAATGCAACTTTAGTTAATGAAGCTTTATCCAGGAAAGCGCTTGGGACACACGAAAGTTATAAAGAAGTGTTTTCATTTGAAAGTACAAACGTGTAGACTAGCATTACCCAGTCCACAAGGCAATAAAGATGTTAAAGGAAGACAAAAATTAACGTTATCAAAAGAATTTTCAAACTGTTAAGTAGAAACAAAATGACAATGGCATGGTAAACAAAACGATTAATGACAAACAACAGTAGACAAAAAAAAAAACAAAACAAAAAAAAAAACAGAGAAAAAATTAAGATTGAGCAACACCATCCAAAAAAGGTGGATATCTAAGACGCTCCGGGAGAGGTAAGTAGATCTTGCTACATCCATAGGTTCACATTTTATATTGCAAGACAATTAAATGAAGTTTGGTTCCCTAACAAGTTGGGAATGTATATCACTTGAGTAGAATTGTGCGTATGAGCAGACACAGATAGAACTTCCTCCGATAACGTATTATTTTTTAAATTTGCAGTCGGGTTAGAGCGATGACATGACGGATATCTTTCCATACCACTGGGAAATCTAGAAACAAAATATTTCCTCCCTGTAAACACTGAAAAATAGATCTTTTCAATGTGTGTCTCGTTTTAGCAGGACACTCTCAATTTTAAATTCACAGTAAATGCTCTGGTTTTATACCAAGCTAAACCTCTCACTTGTATGACAGTCGCATACAATTCCATTATATTGACAACCATGTGTGAACAAAACAAATATACACAATAGGTACAAATGTCAAATATAGGGGTACAGCAGTCATCATTGTGTTATAATCTTAATCATTATAAAAACAAACAAATATGTCAACAAAGAAACACAAAAAGGTATATAGACAAAGCAGATTAACAAAAATGAAAGACAAGAATACAAAAATTTACCATTGCACAATAACACAATGACGGGATGTATAAGTACCG